ACGAAAAGTTAAAACTTGGTGTATACATGTGAGTTGCCCAAGAGGATGTGTAGAACTCTGTTGATATTGGGCATGGACCACAAGAGGTCAAGGTCACTGTTGCTCAAAGTATAGTACTGTTTTTCTGAATGGTAACTTGAAAACTAATTATTATGCAAAGTGAATTAAGTCTGATAAAGTTTTCCACAGTGCACCACAGGTCAAGGTCACCATTGGTAAGAGATCATTTTGCTAATGCAGATGTTGTCAAACTTCAAAACTTAAATGCTCAAAATAAAAGTTCAAAATAGGCATTTTATGCACAGAGAATGGGTAGCACGTCCACAAAGAGATTGTACAGATTGTACAAGTATGTGCACAAGTTTCCTGTTTTTCTTAAACACAGATCTATGATAGATCAAACAAAAATCCTGCATGTGACATATTTTTCGGAGGGGATATGCTGGTCCAGTCCATTCTTTTATCAACCTTATGGAGTAGTACAGTACAATTAAAGTAGTTCCTTCCTGTTACATTTTCATACTTTTGATTATAACAATGCCTCTGAAGGTTCTCAAGTATGTCATTTTGGCATTAGACCACACATATTATCATGATCTGCAGTGTTTATGTTTTTTGTTGTTGGATGTATATGTCCTGATGAATTCTCTGTAGCTACAGTATTACCAGATTCGACCTAATAGGTGCACTGTGTGCTTAGAAGTGAACTTAAGCTTAATAACCCTTTTGTGCTCCAAACTGTGTCCATGTGTGTTCAAACCAGCCAAAACTGCCCACCCAGACTTGTTTTCTGTTGCTACGTTGTTGCTTTGGAAGCAAGTCATGTATCTATGGGATTTTACGAGATCTTACTGCAGCAGAACTTCCTGTTCAAATTGGATGCCAACTACTGGTAGTCGTGTTTCAGTTAAAAATTATGGCATTGTGGAGTTTTTCGTAAGACAATTGTGACCAACAAAGTGATCATTGAACAGCACAGACTGGAGCGGTTACGAAAGTTTTTATATTTGAATTGGATGATAATTATGCGAGGCTACCGTTAGTAAAACATAATCCGAACATACCAACACTGATGAAGGATGGAAAAATGTTAAGGATCCCTGTTCCACTGCAGGTAAAACACTAGAGATTCTACTGTGATTTTCACCTATACATGTACAGTGACCTACCTGACTTTCATTTCGGATATAATACTGTAACACAAATCGGGCAAGAACGCTTTTATCGACTAGGTAGCACAATTGTTTAGTACAACAGTACACAAAATGGAGGTCCAGAGTTTATTAAACTCAGATCACTGTTGTACATGTTGATTTGATTATGTTAAAAACTCAATTCATCTTTATTATTTCAAATGAAAGTCTTGTAAGGTGCGTTTTGTGTATTGTTTTCTATTCAGAAATGATTTATCGAAGCTAAATAGTCATGCTGGGAAAAAACCCTATTTCTTTGCACACGGTAGTTACAGTTTCTGACGGTTGGATCGAGATTCTTTCAAGAAACATATTTTATTGTAAACAAAAATATCATGTTTAGGTAGAAAGGACAGGTGTATTTAGCAGTTGATAGTGTACACATTTCAATGTATAAAGTTGTTTGTTTGTCCTAGAATTAGGTCAGGGTAACAAGCCCCTGTAGGTAGGGGGGGAAATCAAGCTGTCTTGTTGCCAGGTGTTGTTACTATGACAGTTCCTATCAGGGATACATACCTAAACTAATAGCCAAGGAGGACACCTGTTAGGGGGACAGGATATACTACTGTCTGTACACTGGGGCTACAACTATAGGATAT